AATGCAGCTCTAGACAATGCTTGGAATTGAATGTGGCAAAATTTTGGTAAGAATTTCCCCCCCAAAACTTTTTCTTTTGGGCTAAAACATTGACACATTTGCCATACTTTCGCAAGAAGGCTGTTGTGTACCAGATCACAGCTCGCCCACCGTTTGGAAGCCGCTGTGTCAGGCACCTCCTGGGTTCAAACTGGAAATTGAAAAGGATGCCAGGTCCTCGCTGTCACAGCTAGTGACTGTCAGCAGGCCTGACATCGCCATCGTCATGACAACTGGTACTAAGCCTTAGCGTGTTGTCACCTCTCGTGACTCGCCCGGATACAACGAGGCTCCGGCCTCAATTTCCAGCCGATGGTATCGCCCGGGCTCCGGCTGCACGGCCGCATTGGAGCAGAGGGGTCGTTTCAAAAACGCGCCTGCCATTTCCTCCTAATGAATCTTACTTCCATGCAGGCATGACCCGAAGCTGACAGACAGCCGTCGGGGCAGCGCGGCCGTCACTCAGAAACGTTTTGCTGGCATTAGACCTCACTGTAGCTAATCAGATTCCGCTGTAGTGTAAGAGAACGGAACTGAATTGGATTGACTGTCAGTGCCGCGTTCCGGGCCTGCACTGTATCAATCTAATGAGTAATGAACAGAAAGCAAATAAGCGCTTTGTACAGCCCCTCTTTGAGGAAGTGAAGAGAAGTCAATGTTACCTCCTCTTAGGCAGTTAGGCTTCCTTACAGTGCTTCTCTGTTCATTTGTGCTGCCGATTTTTGGACTGACATACCCGATTAAAGCCAACACGGGCTTGATAAACAATTAACAAGATGGCTAGGCGTTAAGCAACAACAAAGCTAGTGCGTGTGGGTAGGAGACGACCAGCGAGTGTGTGTGCATGTACTGTATGTGTATGTATTGTTTGTACACTGGCTGTCAATAAGATTGCTTATGTTCAGGTACAGTACTGGGCAAAAATCAGAGACCACCATGCATTTCTTTCATTTTAGTCCAATCTGCTGTTCAGTGCAAGTTATTCTTTTTTTCAGCATCAGGAAAAATGGTAGAAAACATGCTAGATGCCTCAACAATGGAAAATAATATCATATTTCTAGTATATCATCTATGTTTGATATCATGTTCCTAACATCTTCTAATCTTGCATTCAGTTTTTCAAGTAAATCTGCAGGGATATTTTCCACTCTTCCAAAGTTCAGTCTTAGAAGTTGGTTACATAAACTACACATTGAAGCCTCAACAGCTAAGGGCTCGTCTACATATACACGCTCATAAAAACGTACGTAACTGTCACTGGGGCAGGACCCCTCTTGTCACTGGGGTGGTTCCCTCAAGGGTACATCTCAGTACCTTTAGTCAGGAAACAAAACTGTATCATAATCCACTGAAATGATATGTTCTAAGCTGTACTGACTCCACACACCCCGTCTCGTCTCCAGGACTTTTATTTTACTGTTCTGTTTTAAAACATTCGGTTGTGAAAAGGTACAAATACAAACTTTTCACCTGGAAAAACTTATTTAAGTTGCACAATTGGACCCTAAAACCACTGTTGTACCTTCGAGGGAACATTTATATTGTTTGTACCTTGATGAGCAAAAAATTTACCTGCACAGAACCTTTATTCCTAAGAGTGTAGCTACATGTTTAAATATATATATATAAAAATCTTCGTCAACCCCAGCAGTTTTCAAAAATCTCTATGTCCACATGAGGGGCCAGAATGACTCAAAATGCTCGCATGAGCAAGCCAGCGTAGTAGGGGGGCAATAATACTCCATTTAATGTCATACACCCCCCAAGAAGAACACTGTGAGCGCACTGTGCAAAATATAGATGAAGAAAATATAGATATGAAGCTAAAGCAGCCTGTAGACTTTTCCTGCAGGCCATCAGACCATCATTTGTTGTTTCACGCAGATTCAAGTTTGCTTTTAAAAAATAAAGGCTTTGAAAAAGCAAAACATGCAATTGTTTACACTGCCATGGCATCTCCACCATCCCTGAAACGTCCACTCAGTCCTGATCAGACAGAGTAGCTGAGTTTTTCTAGCTTTTCAACCTCTTTTGACTTATTTAGTTATACATTTTTTGGAATCTGACTTTGGTTAATGATCATCAAATCCCAAATCTTCAGTCATTCAGGTATTTTTCATATTTAATAATGCAATAAAGATGATGCCCCATTTATGAGAACAGAGTGCAGTAGATTCTGATGCCGCTGCAGTGTGGCTTAAAAAAGTAAAGCTTAATTTCAATTACAAACATGTGATCAACTAAATGACCATCAGGTTGCTGAGCACACAGAAGGTCATCAGTCATATCTTAGAGTTCTGCATGTTCAACAAATGGATAAAGCAGTAGATGTTTGCAAGTTAGCAGTGTGATGTCAGTGTTTTCAGCTGCGTTTTGGCCACAGTTGAAATTAAATTTTCAAAAAATTCCATTTTCAGTGACAGAAAATGCAAAGGTCCTGTAGACAGGAAGCCAAAAAGCATAGAAAAAATGACATTTTCAAAAAAAATATCAAGAGACACTGGATGGGTGCCTAAAAATAATATCAAAGTTTTCAATATTTGGTGTCTTTTTTTACAGCTTACATTCTCTATTTATTTTTTTTACATGTAGTCTTGGTACACAGCTCTGCCACAATGAATATAGATAATATGCAACTAGCTAATGTGTTGCTACTTTTATGCCACTTGTAGTGCAGTTCAGATGTCAGAGAGAATCATTTATTTACTTCATTTCCAGTCAAAGCATCCTTTAAGTCCCATGTCTCAAACACAGGGCCATGTCAGGCCCATATCACACGCCCATCCATTTTCATTTTCTATTAATATTAGCCCTGTTTTACAATGCGCTGCACTACAGTCCCCAGCATTCATTGCAATGTAATGTGCACTCTGACTCTCCTACCTGTCCTATCTATGGGACGGCAGTTAAACCTCAATTCTACACAATTCTATGAGATTCCACTCCAATCATGTCACCAAACACACCAGCTGTAGTCCAACCAATGTATACACCTAACATCAGCTCAGCAGCTCAGAAACTGAGCCCAAATGTTAATGAACTTGCAGCAAAGAAAACAGGTGGGTTTAAAAGACCGAGCTCCTGGGGACATTTACATTTTGAATATTATTGAATATTGAATAATATTATAGCATTTGAGTAATATTTCAAGGTTTACTACAAGTGTCTGTGTTTTACTGTGTATTTTGAATAAACAATGGCCAGTTCAGTTTACAGCACAACATTAATTAATAATAAAATAAAAAAAAAAATTCGGCCCACAGATTTGCTGAGGTTTTTTAATATGGCCTCTTTAGTTAGAGTTTGACACCCCTGCTTTATGGACAAGTTACTTATTTTTGAGCGTCGGGAAAAAACAAACAAACAAACAAAAAACATATTTAACACATACGCCTATAATTTCACATTTTTCAGTTTGGCCTTTATTCCAGCTTCCATTCTTTTCAGGAGGCTCACTTTCAGTTTTTGAAAGAAATCTGCAGCCACAAGTTCAGTCCTAGAAGTTGGTTGCACCTTCTGCTTACGATCCAGGTAAAGCCAAACACATTCAGTGATGTTGAGGTCTGGGGTCTGGGTGGTCAGTCCATCGTTCAGCTTCTTTGTTTGATGTGTCCGTCTCCTTTTCTTAGTGAGGTTCTTCTTGAACAGCTACACATCCTTTCAGACCCATAGTGCCGAGTTGTCCTCTCACAGTGGAAGGATGGACAGAAACACCTGTGGATGTTTTCAGATCTGAAGCAGCTTGATTTTCTCCTCTCTCTCAGAGATGAAAGCGCTGTTTATCTGATGGGGCAGTTTTGGTGGTCTAGGTGGTCTTCCAGGTGGTTGTTAGGAGCCTCATTCTCCGTAGCTTCTAATCATGTTTTGAACTTATGAAAACACCTTTTTACACCCATTCTCTACAAGTGGATAATCTCATATCTGATCTCTTCAGAAAAAATATGAATACTTAACATTTAATAGATGTTTCGACTGCAAATCAACTTAATAAAGGGTGGTCTCTGACTTCTGCACGGTACTGTTTGGTTTGGTGGGCAGTGTGTGAGATCACAACAACACACGGACACGTGAACGCGCGCACACAGGATCTATGCTGTTTAGTTCCACCAAGCGCCCCGTGGGGGCGCCAAAAGAGCAAAGAGGAAAGGGACGAATAACTGTTGAATGCAGCAAACAACTCCAGCACGAGAGACACTCACCCTCATCAATACTCATCAATGCTGGAAAACAGCGGTACATTGAGTTTACATTATTGAAATGAACGCAATACATTATTATTACCATGTTTCTACGTCATTAACACTGTTACTGAGTCAGTACAGAGTAAGGGAGCTGAATGGAGTGCGTTGTGTTCACGTGCAAGTGATGCACGCGTCATCAATAATCACCAATCGATGCAATCGATGCTCTTCATAGTCATCGACACTCATCATTCTCCTAAGATTGATCTGAACATAGATTTTACCAGTTCTCCAGAGAGAGAGAGAGAGAGAGAGAGGAGAGAGCGTTCATTGCTTATCGGGCTCGACCATTTGCCAGCGCTAGACACCAAACAACTCCAGATAGACAGATCTCCGTTCGAAATAGGATGAAAGGAGGGAAGGAAGGAGAAAAGGAATCCACCTTCGGATTCAGATGTGGGTCACTGTCGCTCGCTCGTGCGCGCGCGCGCGCGACTCGAGGGGCAATTAGCAGATTTTTCTTAACCTAATTGTGCATTCCCCAGCAAAACAGCCCCGAGCTCGAGCGACGCGGAGAAGTTGCTGAAGCTGAGGCTCCCCCCTTTCCTCCTCCTCCTCTTCTTCTTCTTCATCCTCCTCCTCATCCTCCTCCTCCTCCTCCTCGCGTGCGCTGAGGAAAAAACACTTCTTCGCTCACTCGCGCACGCAGGCGAAGGGAAAACGCACTGGATTAAACCTGCGCTCGTTTCTATGAAGGGGATGCTGTGAAGCCTCGTTTGTCCTTTTTTGGGGGGCTGTTTTGCAGGAGCTGGTCATTTTGCTTCTTCTTCTTTTGGCGGGGAAGCGCATCCTCCCCCCCAAAAAATACTTCAGAGTGCTGGAAGAGGAGTGAGTTGGGGCGAGAGAGTTGAGTAATTGGTGCTTTTTCCTCTGAAACTGCGCGCCGTCGACTGCGGTCCGTTCGTGTCCATCTAGCTGGCTGTCAGCACCGGCTCGGTTTCTGACGATGGCGAGGATGAGCCAAGCGGCCACTTACGGATTTGTCCACCTGAGGGAGGATTTTAGGCTTTCTTGATGCCCGAAGCGGGGCTCTAAAAGGCTGCGCCGGTTCGTATCAGCCTCTGGAACCGTCCAAAAGAAGATAATCTCGGACACAGCGCTGGCCAGGGGGTGGAAGAAGTAAGTGGTCGAGCGAGGTAAGGACGTGAACTTTAGGAAGCAGAAAATGGCTCGAGGATGCCACTTGAGGAATCCGTGGTCGACGAGGCTCAAGTTGGCAGCGTCTTGTCGGAATTTTCCGTTCCACCTTAAACGGTGCAGTAGTTAACAGTCTGGCGCTTCGGCGCCAGAATGTAACTGCTGCACCGTTTAAGGTGGAACGGAACAATTCCAAAACCGACGGAGCTGTGACTGGATTAAAGTCATTTTTTTGTGCTTTAATGCTTGAAAATGTGTCCGAAAACATGAATCAAATGATCTTAGATGGCTTGGAATGCCCGTCCAAGGTCCAGGCTGTGGTCACCAGTTGACGAGGAGCCACTTGTTTGCCTCCCTCCTCAGTTCTGCTGTGTGTCTAGATGAACTATTTCTCTTGTAGACGCCACGTTTCAGCTCTTTTCTTGTTCAAAACTGCTTCCTATTCGTTGTTACAGCCTCATAGATGTGGCAAGCTGGTGTTAGATATAAATGACAACGCTGGGGCACCAATCTGAGCAGGCTGGTTCAATAATGAGAGCAATGTTTGGTCCAGAAAGCAGAAAAAAATCTTTGCAGATAGATTGGAGACAGCTCCCCACCAGGCTCAGCCCAAGACTGTTCGCAAGGGCTTGATGGATTTCGAGTGTCACCAATTTTGCTGCACTGAAGTGCGGCTCGCTGCAGAAATGCATTTTTAAAAGGGTCATTTGAAGTGAGCTGCTGGTGGCAGCAGGGAAAAAAAAATGGTCAGGAAGCTGGTTAATGGGGGGAGATGAGCACGATGCAACAACTTTGTAGTGGAGATCCACAGAGCGAGAAACATGCAAGAAAAAAAGTGATTGGGTTTGATGTGCCAAGCCATGCATGCATCATGCATGCATGCGTGCATGCATAAATAAGTTAACAGTCCCTTGCAGTATGATTTCATGTTTCTTTCCTTTTTTTGAGAGGTGTATGGGGTGGCTTAGGGGGTGAGGGGTGTCAGGGGGAGGGGGTGGATGGGCTACAACAGTCAACAGACGCTTCCTCGCATTCGCTGATGAAACCGTGGGGCCATACGCGCAGAGCGCAGCATTAACGCAGGCTAAACGACTTAACCGTGCTGCGCCGAAATGCTAAACCTGTTGAACCTGAATGAATGTGATAACAGATGATATAGAGCTGCGCGAAAACATAAAAGGTCACAGCACTTAAGGGCGATGAGACGTCTGCGTGAACTTTAAGCACCAGGAGCCGAACGCTGAGATTCGGAGGGCGAGCGTGCGCTTCGTGCATATGAGCTTCCAGTTTGGTGACACATAAGCAGGTCTGAGATGGAGACGGTGCACTTGATCTTGCAGCGGTGAAGATGCAAGCATGCTGATCTCAGTGGGAGAAAAAAAAAATCTTCAAAGGCTTTTCAATTGTCATATGACACATCCACGGTAATTAAAATAGCCTTTTTGATAAGCACCGTTGCCGGCAAAACACAGGAGCATATATGACATGATATGGCACCGATGGCAGTCTATTTTAGGTGTTATTGTAGTGGCAGTGAAAGACAGGTACAGCAGTCGTTTCATAGTCATATTATAGTGCAGCTGTTTAGTCTTGGTATTGGTTCACAGCTCTACCACAGTGAACATAGGCAGATAATATGCAAATAGCTAATGTGCTGCTACTATTATGCCACATGTAGCGCTGTACAGATGTCAGAGAGCACCCTTCATTTGCATAATGTCCAGTCAAAGCATCCTTTAAGTACAAGTTATTCATTTTTCAGCATCAGGAAAAAAACAAACAAACAAACAAACAAAAATATATTTAATAGGAAATTATGAATAAAGCCTATAATCACATTTTTCAGTGTTGCTTTTGTTTCAGCTTCCATTCTTTTCCGGAGACTCGCTTTCGGTTTCTCTAAGAAATCTGCAGACACGCCTCCAAAGTTCAGTCTTAGAAGTTGGTTTAGCATTTTCTGTAATCAAAGACTTTCAGGGTTTTCCTTTATCTGGACGGTCCACTATAGTCCCCTGTAGATTATCTACAGATGTTCAAATTGTTAACAGACTATCTATTGAAACTCAGGTGATTTTAACTGTGGTGGGGTTAGGGTTAGGATTTGGACCAGGGTGAGGGTTGGGTTTAGGTTTATGAGATATGTTTAACAGGAAATTACAAATAATCTGTCACATTTACACAAATAATAATATCACATTTTTCAGTCTTTCCTTTATTCCAGCTTCCATTCTTTTCAGGAGACTCGCTTTTCTCAAATACATCTGTAGACACACCTCCAAAGTTCAGTCTTAGAAGTTGGTTTAGCATTTTCTGAAGTAATCAAACACACTGAGGGTCTCCTTTGGATAGTCCACTATAGTCCCTTATAGATTATCTACAGATGTTCAAATTGTTAACAAACCATCTGTTGATTCTAAACAGTAGTGGGATTAGGGTCAGGATATGGACCAGGGTTAGGACTAGGTCCAGGGTGAGGGTTGGGTTTAGGTTTTGGCTTGAGGTCAAGGTTAGGGTTAGGATTAGAGGCAGGCTTAGAGTTGAAGAAGATTATGGTCAGTTTAATAGATATTTAGTTGAATGTACCTCGAAAGTAAATTAAGTATCTACAAAGCATCTAAAGTGGACTGTCCAAATAAAGTGTTACCACATTCAGTGATGTTGAGGTCCGGACTCTGGGGTGGTCAGTCCATCGTTCAGCTTCTTTGTTTGATGTGTCCGTCTCCTTTTCTCAGTGAGGTTCTTCTTGACAGCTACACATCCTTTCAGACCCACAGCGCTGAGTCGTCTTCTCACAGTGGAAGGATGGACAGAAACTCAGTTTCTCACTTATTTAGCTTTGACTTTTGCCTTCGTTATGTGAGTTATCTTATATCTAATCTCCTCAGAAATATCTCTGGAATTACTTGTACATGAAGACCATTTTCACCAGAAATTAATTAAATGAAATCGCTCTGTTGTTGTTTTTAATCAGTTTTCTCTCATTGATACCCAGTGAAGCTGGGTTAGTTGTGTTCTTTCAGTGATATTAAGTGAGCTCTCAGGTTTACTTCCTCAGAGTTTGTTTAGTCAATGCAATCTGACTGAGTAAAACTCAACATCTTTCCCAGTGGCTCCTCACGTTATCTGTTTGCGTATTTGCTTTACTTGTTTTACCTATTTTGTGTTCTCTTGCCACCTGGCCTACCATCCATTGTGCGTCCATCTTTTTTATACTCCACAGTGAACAGCCAAGCCAAGTTGTTGTTGGCTGTAAGTGCAACTACAGTACAATGTAGAACATTAACAACTTAACATCATTATGCGGATCTAACTTAACCGTTGTGTGGTGTTCAGGTCTGTGGGACCCATTTTCAATGTTTACCAAAAGAAAAATGATGCGATTTATTATTATTCCAACCTCAGATTCTTGACCTTTGCTCATTTTCTTTGAAGAACATATAAAATAACCCATTTTCAGTGCCTTCACTCTGTTCACCCCCCACACATTTATATTACACATGTGGTGTTGGGGCGAACCAGCGGGAAGTAAAAGTGTGAAGGTGCTGTGTCCTTCACTCTGTTCTCCTCCTACATGGCCTGCTGTTAGTGGGTGTGTGTGTGTGTATGTATTTGTATATATGTGTGTGTGTGTGTGTGTGTGTGTGTGAGGGTGGACAACACGGACAGGCTGCTGACTGGCTACAGCTGCTAAAGGAGAACCCTACGCTGGACACTTGTGATATTTTAAACATCTGGTATTTTTACGTAAATTGTTATGGCTGTATTGATTTAACATTGCGGTGGGTCCACCAGACCACTGAGTAACAAACACATCAACACCGCACAGGGGTTAAGCTTATTAACTCTATTTTTGTTTTCTACTTTAATTAGTAGAACCATATTAAGTCCTCTTAGTGATAACTAAGTTGTGTGGTATACTTGAATTCACTGTGTCGTTACTCAATTTAACCTTTTGAAAGTGACTTAACACAGCTGTGTGGTACCATTTAACATTTTTAAGTAAATCCAACATTTCATTTTTTGGAAGTACAAAAAATTAGTTAATTCAGTCCAGTTGATTATTTAATCTGTGTATTTTGATTCACATGGATTTGTTAAGTATGTATTACTCAGTCAAGTATCTTAAAAGCTACTTAAGATTGTAGCACCAAACCACATGGCATTATACATACATACATACATACATACATCATCTAAAGCTTATCCTTCTGGAGCCTATCCCAGCTGTCATTGGGCGGAAGGCAGGATACACCCTGGACAGGTCACCAGTCCATCGCAGGGCCACATGGCATTATATTTTAACTAATTCTAATATTTAATATTTTTGAGTGAAGATCACTACATTTAAAAAATTAGTATTAAAAACTGTGCATGGAATGATTTTTATTCAATATTTGGCACTAAATCCAGTTGAACATGTTTTAATTTTTCTCTCTTTGTAATGAAACACACAGTTGGTCAGTGACGCTATAAGCACTGACAATATCCATAATATGTTCAGAAAGCATATCATATTGTTTTGTGATATATTAAAGCGGTATATTAAAGCTATAAACCACTTGGGGCTGTGCGTTACTGCGATTTCATCATGGGAAGGGTGTTCTTAGGCATGACGCAAAGCGGAGTAAACTCCCTTCCCTATGATAAAATCACAATAACGCATGGCCTCAAGTGGTTTATTGCTTTTATTAAACAGTGGCCAAAATAAACTATGATAAAATACACAACTTTATAGAAAATAATTTAAGTTATTATTAATAATCATTGACAGAAACAAGTATTACGCCAATAAATGTAGTTCCTTTAGAGTTTGGTATCATTGCCAAGCAACTATGTACCGCTGAATAAAGAGAACGTTTGGTCGCCCATCGCTGCATATCGCAGTCAGTTCATGAACGTTTTAACTTTTTGTCGTATAACAATGAACATATGATAACAGCACTGTTTAATGCTAAAACTTTCACTTTATTAGTACTTTTTGGTCACCAAATCACCACCA